GTTTCTTCCAAGAACTTGACCTGCTAGCGCTATGTTCAGACGGGGTTCAGCATTTAAACGCTAAAAGATTCACCTTTAAACCACCTCACCGCCAAAGGTATATACTACAAAGAATTCGTAGTCTGGGTCAAAAGTTTTTCATCTTTTGGTTCAAATGGGTTGGGAATTTTTGCTTCATGAAGAAGACAAATCGCCGATCTTGAAAAGAAAAAGAGGGGTAATATCTGTGTGGAAGTATCCTGGGAAAGTTCTTGGTAATCCATTTCATTGCCGAGGGATAAACAAAAGCAAAATTGGAAGGAATATATTCTCAGCTACAAAATCTGGGTTTATCTGCAAACCCTACTTTTTTTTTTCTCCAATTCCGACAAAATTCTACTGTAGATTATTATGGGTCACTTAATTTCGTCACTTCAGAAATTGGGTATTGGGTGCTTTAGCACTTAAAGCTCTATATAAAGGAGGCAATGCCTATTCTTCTTCCACAACTCAGAAATCTCAAACATCTAGCTTGTATACGGAGTAGTCTGTAATGGAGGCGACTCAGAAGCAGAAAGGATTCATTAAGAGCAAATTGGCTATGTCCTTTGCTCGAGTCACCAAGCGAACTTCTCAACCGCAGTGCAGCAGTAAAGTGACGCCTAGCCCGCCTCTGGCGACCCAGAAGGGTTTGAATCAACTGTCGCTGCAGAGGGTGTCGTATGCGAGCTCTAAACCGGCTGCTACCACCACCACTTTCTTCCAGCCGAATGCGTATGTAACTGACGCCAGTGGTAAAGGCTCCGCGAAAACCACTTGGGGCAGTTATGGATGTGATGAAAACGTGGATATGAAGGCCGCGGACTACATTTCGTATGTTCGAGAACGGTTCGACAAGTAGAGAGTCGATTTCAGCGGTGCGAAGCGCTAGGAAATGCTATAGATATGAGTCGCCTGTTTTAGATTCTAGGTTGCACCGGATTGCAAAATAAATAGAGTTGGATGTGGGGGAGAGCCTATAATATTAGAAGGCTCGTCCCTCGTCCAATGTTCATGGTTGTGTTTTCCCTTTAGATATTTAGTACCATGCCACCTTTTTTTGGGCATGTACAATGCTACTTTTAGATCTCTCTATAGGAGTAGAATGGTATCTTCAATCAGGTCTGTAATGTAAGGTTTTCCTAATAAGCGAGCAAAGATAGTTCCAAAGAGTGTGGATTGTATCAAACTACCCTTTTTTCATGTTTTGTAGAGTAGAAGGGCTACTTCAACCAGTAAAATCAATTCCAAAATCAATCTCTCCTCCGCATAATTCTTACAAAACCCTTCTCTCCACTAGCACACCCTTACAATTTGCTATAACCATCCGGACATTCTTCAAACACATACATAAAAACAGAGCATCCTTAAGGACCTTAACTGCAGAACGCAGAACAAAGCAACAGTAAGCGCCCAAAACAGAGTATGGTATCTATCAACACATCCAAAAACAATGCAGCATTATGAGATCATACATGTGCTTGAGAGAACAAATTTATCCCCCCATGTCATACTTGACACACCAGAATCATCATAAATGAATTAAATCCACGGTGAAGGAATGCTAAAGCTGCGGTTGTAGAGCTTCATGAGGTTGTCTAAATGGATGAACATTTTTTAGATATTTAAGAATATAAAAATTAATATATATGATTTACATGAATATAACAGTTAATTTAAGGATTGATTTTTTACAATATTAACTGAACAATAACGTTTAGGGCTATAAATAAACCGGGCTGAGTACAGAAATACTCAAGCTCAAGTTCAACTCCACAACAACAGGCAAGCTTGAGCTTTACCAAACTTAGAAAGGTGGAATTTGAGCTTGGCTTGTTTAGAGAAAACTCGAGCTCAAGCTCAGCCCATCTACTAAACAAGCTTAGCTTGGATCGAGTATCCCGTGAGCTACTAACTTATTTATAATTTAAAATAATTAAATTAAAACAAATAATATAATTGATTAATTTTTCAATCTAAATGAGCTATTTGTGAGTAGCTGACAAGTCTAACAGACATGCTAAATCTTGAACTCCATTACTTATTGAGCTTGAAATTGAGTTCAAGCTCAATTTATTAAGCAAATAAGCTGGGTTCAAGTCAAAGATAAATTGAGCAATTCAGAAGTAATTATTGAGAAACTTAGTTCATTTACAGGCCTATCACATTGGTGAGATGAAACTTAAAAAGAGGGGGACATCTTGATACATACTATTAGATATGGTTATGGTCACCTACTATTATTTTAAGACTACTTAATTTTATTTGGTTTAATTGTTAAAAATAACTAATAATTAATAAAATAATTAATATTTATTATTTAATATATTACAATTAATTTGTAAATTAATATTTTTAAATATAATAACAAATTATTCTTAAAAAAATTATAAATAAATAAAATATCAATTAAACTAAATAATTTTTAAATAATCTTAATAAAATAGTTGATAGCTATGATCACACCATCTATTTTTTTAGATTAAAATAAGATGTGTGATCCTCATTCTTTTCTTAATAGATGTGACATTCATGATATGGATATATATTAATTAATTGTTATTCTTTTCTGCTTTTGTATATATGCAGATTAGGATAGGCAGATACCAAACTCAAAAAGAAAAAAAATTACAAGAGTAGTCATGAAAATTATGTTTGCTACATATAATATGATTACAAATAATTAAGGTCTCTATCTTGTATATCTTGCTTTATCATTTTTTTTT